TAGAGGGATCTGTCCGCAACTTGCCTCATACATATTCAAACCATTCACCAATGATGGTTTTCACTCAAGGTATGTCTCCATTTAATCCTACTTGTAAGCCTTTTAAGTTTGTTGCTGCTTGGATATCACATGGGGATTACTTGAGAGGATTGAAGGTATACAAAAATCCCAAGCTATCTATTCTCACAACCTCCACACTCTAGAATTGGATCTTGTTGATCAATACAATAAAGTTCTCTACCAGGAAGAACTCTTGTGGTTCCAACAATATAGTCTAACTAGATTACTCAGGGTGAGAAGAACGCTAAAATTTTCTACCTCACAATCTCGACTAAAAGGAGAAGAAAGAGGAATGAGATCCTAGAGAATGAGGATGGTGATTGGATTGATCAATCTCACATGCTTAAGTCTATAATTACTAACTTCTTTGCTAATCTGTTTAGTTATTCCCCTTCAAATTGCCTTGATCATTGGAATAATCTGGTGAGTAGTAAAATAACTGAGGAAGTTCAAGCTATATTTTATCACACCTATTGGTCTATTATTAGACCTTCTGTATGTGATTTTGTGAAAAATTACTTTCTTAATAAGCATATTCCTCTTGAGGCCAATAGAACTCTTGTTGCTTTAATCCCAAAAGTTGAAAATCTTGAGAATATTAAACAGTTTAGGCCCATTAACCTTTGCAATGTGACCTACAGATTATTTCCAAAATCAATGTGAGTAGAATTAGACCCTTTGTGAGTAAAATTGTTAGACCCAATCAATGCAGCTTTATTCTTGGTAAAAACACTAGTGATAACATCATTATTTATCAAGAAATCATTCACTCTTTGAGCATCAAAAAAGGGGAAAAAAGGGGTATGATTTTGAAAATTGATTTGGAAAAGGCTTATGACAAAATATCTTAGGATTTTTTAAAACAAGCTCTTGAGGAGTTCAATTTTGATAACAACTTGATAGATCTTATTATTTGTTGTGTTACTAATGTAAGTACTACTATTATCTGGAATGGAGAACCTCTTGAGGAATTCCAACCCAAAAGAGGTTTGAGACAAGGTGATCCTCTATCCCTTTACCTTTTTGTTTTATGCATAGAGAGACTTTTTAATATGACAAGTCTCAAAGCTGATAATAAGAATTGGAAAGGGATAGAGATCACAAAAGGTGGGCCTATCCTCACTCATTTGTTTTTTTGCTAATGATTTTATGTTGTTTGGTCAAGCTTCTATGGCTACTTGCAATACTATCATGGAAGTTATGGAGGAATTTTGTGATAACTCTGGATTAAGAATTAATCCCTATAAATTAAAACTTTATGTGTCACTCAATATTGAGAGGACGAAGGCCAAAGAGTTAAGTACCATATATGGTATTCCCCTAACCTCTGAGCTTGGGAAATACCTGGGGGTTCCACTCATCCATAGCAAAGTGAGTAGAAGACACTTTAATGAGCTTTTAGAGAAAATGCAAAAAAGATTATCCAGGTGGAAAGCCACTACCCTATCTATGGCTGGCAGAGTCACACTCATAAAATCAGTAAGCTCTGTCTTTCCTTACTATACTATGCAAACCATATTACTACCTAAAAAGGTAGGTGATGACATTGATAGGTTGAACATAAACTTTCTATGGCGTGATACCCAAGAAAGGAAGAAAATTTATTTGGTCAGTTGGGATGTTGTGTGCAAAATGAAAACACATGGTGGTTTAGGCATTAAGAAGGCTAGGGGTCAGAATTTGGCCTTGTTGACTAAGCTGGGTTGGAACCTATTTAGCAATAAGGAAGACATGTGGTGTGATGTTCTCAAAGATAAATATTTGAAAAGCACTTCATTTTATGATTGACATAAAGGGAGGAAGGCCTCTCATTTATGGAGAGGCATATGAATACCAAGAACTCTTGAGAAAAAGTGTGAAATAAAATGTTAGGAATGGCTATAATGTGGATTTGTGGAAAGATTAGTGGTGTGGAGACTAGTCCTTTGAGGACTTTAAATCTAACACCAACTAAAGTACCCCCCTAAACACACTAACATTAGCAGGGTAAGAGACCTATTAAAAAATGATGGCAATTGGGATGAAAATATTATTCATAGATATTTTCCAACTCCTATTGTTCTTATGATTCTGGGAAAGTCCTTCCCTCTAATTTGGAGAGGGATAGTCCTGTGTGGAAGGGCTCATCTGATGGGTCCTTCAATGTGTCTTTTATTTACAATCTCATTAATGGGAATCATAAGAATGAGGATTAAGACTATATTTGGAAGCTCAGATTGCCACAAAAGCTCAAAGGCTTTCTATGGGCTGTCATCTATGTGAAGCTTCTCACAAATCAAATAAGATTCGAGAGAGGCTTGACTGCCGATCTTATATGCCCCAACTGTTGTAGGATTGAGGATATGTCTCACCTCTTTAGAGATTTTTACAAGGCTAAGGAAGTGTGGCTAGCTATTTTTAACAAACCTTGGTATCTGGGTATGATGCAGAAACCCTGGATAGATTGGCTCAAGAGTAATTCTAAAAACAAAAATCATTTTAATGAAAACACCTATTGGCAAACTATGTTTGTTGTTACCTTATGAAAAATTTGGAAGAACATAAACTTTGTGGTTTTCTAGCAAAAATCTGTTTGAAGCCAAGAAAGTATCAAATTTATCTTGGACTACTCTAGATAAATCAACCAGGCATTTCTTCATTCAATAACCAACTCCAAACCTTCTTATAGACTAATCAATTGGTGCTTGCCACTTGCAGGTAGATTGAAACTAAATACTGATGGCAATAGGAGGGAGGTTTTGGAGAACTGATTAGAGATGAAAGAGGTGCAATTGGGCGTGCGACTACTACGACAAATTACAAAGTGGAACATGTCTGGAAGCTAAACTATGGATTGTTTACAAGGGATTGACTATCATTCTACATAAAGGATTGAACTATCAGCACAAGTGGTGGAATTGATGCAAGAAGAACTAGGTGATAAATGTCCCTTCAAAAGTCTTGTAAAAGATGCTCAAATCCTTCTTAGAGGCTGTAAATGCACTGTGCAACATGTTTGGAAGGAAGGAAATCTGTGTGCCAATGCTTTGGTTAAAATGGGAGCTAACCAACCAGAAGATATGCTAGTGATGAATGATCTGCCGACTGAGATTAGAAGTTTGCTAGTTTCAGACATGTTAGGGATGTCTAGAGAGAGGGCTTAGACCTTTGTTGTAGTTTTTGCTTTCCGATGTACCCAAAAAAAAAATAAATAAATAAATAAAGTGTTTGGTTTGGAAATTGATTTTTAATAGTGATTTTTTTTATAAAGTAAAAAAAGTTAATGTAAAAAGTCCAGGAATATAACTACCAAACACAAAATGGGATACATATATCTCATTATAGGCTATTCTCCGAATACTATGTATTCGTACTCCTAACCAATCATAATTTATTCTGCCCTCTTATGCTCCTCAATCATCTAATACAATACCCCACCTACTTTTTTTTCCCACCAATCACAATATTATGAAATACCACGAATTTATATTTTGAGATTACTAAATAATTACCCTATCTCATATGGGATAGGAACCACACGGCGTAAGGCCAACACGAGACATAAATGTTTCATTTTGTGTTTGATGATTGTGTTGCTAGTATTGCTCAAAGTTAATATTTAAAACTAATTTTTTTTTAGTTGTGTGAGAAAACATAAATAGTTAATTTCTATGATTTGATTTTTTAATTTTTTTAATATTTTTTTTAACATTTTGACTTTCTTTTACAAATTAATGATAATAGTTGTGGTGTGGACTGAATTGATTAGGTAAGAGTCGGTCTATGGTAGGCTTGGAATTGGGCCAGGCATAGATCTGTATTGAGTGGGAAATTATTCAATACTCCCGGAGTACCATGTGTCCATACTTCAAGCCAATCACTAATTAGTTAGCCCTATGTTGTCCCCCATCTCCAATATAAATCGTGGGCCCTTGTGTCTCTCCACCAATCAAAACATTATGGAGCACCACGTGTCCATACTCCAGGAGTACTGAATAATCACCCGTATTGAGTAAGGCCCATAACCCGTGAAACCAACACAAGGACTTACCTGGCCCGTGGGGGCAAGAATTGAGCCCAAGCTGTATTTTTTATGTTTTATTTAACAAGAATTGAGCACAAGCTTGACTGGCAGTGGAGGAGCCACTTTGGGTCCAACCAAGGAAGGACACGTGCCTCATCTCAATTTTATCTTTTATATTTTTTTAAATTGCAGTTTTGCTTCTAAGCTTGGTTTGGGAAGTTGGTTGGCTTTTTGGCTTTTTTGGCTATTTTAGCCTGGGCTAAAAAGTTTGGTTTGGGAAGGGCTTTTTGGCTTTTTGACTTTTTTGACTTTTTTTGTGAGAGAAGAATGTAATGATTATAGGTTGGATGTGATGTTTTGTTTGTTATGGCTAAAATAGCCTATTTTGTTTTTTGTGGCTAAAATAGCCAAAAAAGCCTGAAAATCAACTTGCCAAACAGAGGAATAAAAAATATTTTTTAAAGTTTTTTAGCCACACTTAGGTCGAATACACTGGCTGCTATCTCAATTTTATCTTTTATATTTTTTTAAATTACAGTTTTGCTTCTAAATAAAAAATATTTTTTAAAGGTTCTTAGCCACACTTAGGCCGAATGCACTGGCTGTTCCTTGCCTCACAGGCAATCAGTTCACCGAAACTTGGACCAGTGAGTACAACTTGAAATTTGGGATACTTACTAGTTATAATAAATTTCTTGAGATCAGTTTATACAGGACGTTTACTCTGACTTTAAATAGGTCCCTGACAAGTGGATGGTGAGATTGGTCTTTCAAGATTAATCGAGATACACGTAAATTGGCCCGATCACCTGATTATTAAAAAATATCTAAATTTACTGAAATACCTGGAACAAGCTCTGAAGCCAACAATTTTTTATTTATCTATTTTTTTTATCAACAAAGGAATTGTTTTTTTATTTATTGATGCAATGCAACAGATAGGAAAATACAACCAACACACTTAATACATCAACAAAAACATGTAGGATGGCACCCACTACCTAGCAAAATCCAATGCAGCCCCGTGGAAAATAGTTGGTAAGATACCAACTAAAACACTATTAAAAACAAAACAATAGTCAAATCAACCCACTTGAAGAAACAAGAAGGCCACTAGAAAAGCTGGGGCATCCAACACTTTGGTAAAGACTTCCATGGCAACAAAAGGAGTGTTGCTTCTTTTTGGACTTATCATCCTATCCTACCCTCTTCAATATGCAGCAGAAAATCAACAATTTGATTCCATCAATTGTTTAGACCCAACAAGATGAAAAACAACACTTGGTATAACTACTATCAATGCCACCCACAGAGTCCACAAATGCCTTGATTCGCTTCACCGAAAGCTTCAAAGTTTCTTTCGACATGTTTGCAAAGCACAAACGAAACCAGCCCGGTTCACCACAATGACAAGAAGACCCAGGAGAGACATTCAACCCAACTTCATAAAGAACCTTCTTCCACAGCTCCATTTCTGCTTCAAATGTATCATTCCTCAACAAATGTCTCATGTCTACCCAACAAAACAACCCAGCATTGCTCTTCAAGCAATCTATCCCCGCACTCAAAAGCCCTGAAACAAGCATTTGCTTTCTTTTCCTAATCCTCTTCCTGTTTTTGTCAATATAACTTTTTATGAAATTCTTATCGGCTAGAATGCCCGTGAGCAAGTGCTGAGTTTGGGACGAAACGAGTCCAAAACTTGACATTTTGGTCGCGGCTGCAACTACTGTTTGGTTGTTGGAGTAAATCATTCCCACTCTAAATCCTGGAAGCCCTAAATCCTTTGAGAGGCTATAAACAATGTGAACGCGGTTCCAAATGCCGGTGTCTTCAAGGTTTTTGTACTCCATCATAGCTTGTGCGATGCTTATGAAGCTTGGAGTGTCGAAAACTGTTCCTGAATATATTTCATCGCTTACTATGTGGATTCGTTTGGCACTGGCAAAACTTATGAGATGGTTAAGCTCGGCTCGAGTCATGCTAGTGCCCAAAGGGTTTGAAGGATTTGTGATCAATACTCCTTTAACAGTTAAATTAAGTTTTTGAGCATGTTGATAGGCTTCTTCCAGTGCAGGTTTTGTAATTCTAAATTTATTTGAGCTCGAGCAAGATATGGGTACTATTTCGACCCCAGTTCGCCATTTAAGATCTCTGTCAAACCTGCACAAAAATAATTAAAATTAGTGGCAAGAGTCGGCTGTGGATGAGCTATAAATGAGAATAATTTGTTAAGATTAGCTACTATAGAAACTACTTTATTGTATTATAATTATCATCATTTATATTAATAACGGTTTGTAGACAAATTAAGATCTAACTCTAAATTAAAAGAATGGAGATTATTTACTTAATGCCGATGTAGAATCAAGCCTAAATTTGAATTTTTTGATAGACTATGGTTGATTTTACTTCAGAAAGAGTGCTTAAATTCATGGGAAAGTTTAGATAGTTCAAGTGCTTAGGCTTGTTTGCCAACATCACTTTTTAATCTGAAAGTTAAAAAGTCATTAAAAAAATTAAAAAGTCAATAATTTATATAAAAAAGTCAAAGATTTCTTTTTCTCTCTACTTTTTATACATTTTTTAGTAAAAAATTAAAAAATTATTCCAAATATATTAATTTTTTTACATCATATTTTAATTAAAAAGTTACTAAAAAAACAAGATACTAGACGAGACCTTTACGAGAAAAGCCTCTAGTGTGCTGATGTGATTTTTAAAAGTTAATAATTTTTTTTTTTTAAATATTAAATCTATCGCATTGTATTGCATGACTAGGAAAAGATATACTCCCTCCATGTCAAATTAATAGTTCAATTTGAAAATTCAATTTTTTTAAGGAGACAATCATTACATTTTGAATTCAGATTTTAAAGGATAAAATTCTAAAAATATCCTTCTATTCTCTTTTTAAATATATTTATAATTACTTTATGAGGGATAATTTTGAAAACTTTTAAATTTAAAGATTTTACTTTTTAAAGTGAACATACATTTTGAAACAACAAAAAATAAAATAATATTAATGGACCAATAAAATAGGACGGAAGGAATATGAAAAAAGGATACTTTTCAAACATAATTCAGCCTCCGTTTGGGAAGTGGGTTGGTTTTTTGGCTTTTTGATTTTTTTGGCTATTTTAGTCTGGGCTTAAAAATTTGGTTTGGGAAGGGCTTTTTGGGTTTTTGGGTTTTTTGAATTTTTTTGTGAGAGAAGAATGTAATGATTATGGGTTGAATGTGATGTTTTGTTTGTTATGGCTAAAATAGTCTATTTTGTTTTTTATGGCTAAAATAGCCAAAAAAGCCCAAACCATGGCTTCCCAAACGAAGCCTCAAAGGGGCACCCTCAGGTAGTATTTTTAGCGCTAATATATATCAAGACAAATCTTGCCAATGTTAAATTTAATTGATCTTATATATACACTAATATGATTTTTTATTTTTTTTGTTTCCAACAAGTAACCAATGATAATAGTATTACCCAGGGTAATATGGTGTGGGTAGAAGAAAAGCATCTCCTGGTTCAGCAAGACAAAACATGAGTGTCTCATTCGCAGAGGTTGAACCTGCGGTTAGAACAATCCTGTTCGGATCAAATCGTACTTTGTTTCCTCTAATTTCACCCATGAAATCCGCCAACTCCTGCAAAACAATATTCCAACTAATAAGAACACATATGATGTTAAGTCCTCGCGATTGGTTAATAATATTTTTAAAAAAAAAAAAGTAATAATAATGAGCATTTTAATTTAAGTGTTAATTAGATAATTACATTCTTGAAAGATGGCAAGCCACGATAATCTTGGAAGAGTGCCAATTCTCTGAACAGGGATTTTCCATTTCTATGGAAGCCTGTCGCATCCGGATTATTCTCGAGCCATGATTCAATAATGTCAAAAGAGAGCTGCAATAATCAGACATACATGAGAGATATATTCAAAAAATTCTAAATAAAAAAAATATAGAGTATATATTGATTGATATTATCCCATATATGACCATATCCTAATTCCGACCCACATTATTTAGGAACTGAAATGGATTAATGAAGTTTGAATCTGGGTCACACACACTATAATTATAACTATTGACACTGTACCACATACTTTTTTTTTATTATTTTAAATTCTAATAATTATGCAGTTTCTTTTGTCTCACGTTATAAAAACACGTGACAAAAGTACATGCTGCAAAAGCAGTAAAAATGCAGTAGAAGATCACCAAGGATCCTCTAGAGTATTTTTTTTCTAAAATTTCCTAAAGTGGTGTATTGTGTGGTTGAGATTTAATGTTGAAAAATTGATGTGACTTGTCATTAAATCTCAACCACACAATACACCACTTTAGAAAACTTTAGGAAAAAAAAACTTTAGAGGATCCTTGCTCGTAGAAGATATATAGCGTTGTTCTCAACTTTTCTTTGCTTCATCAAGTATTTTCAAGACTTACACATATGAATGCATCCAAAAATAGAGAGACATAAAAAACGCAAGTGTAATAAGTTAATTATAATTATAATAATAATGTTATATAAAGGGTACTGGCCTGATTCTCAGCAAGACCCATCTGAATAATCCCAGAAGGATTATGGAGGTGATGGTAGGGATTTTTCTGGTACTCTTCCCATCCTAGGAAGTAGGAAGAGTCTTGCCCGTGTGAGTTAAATCTAGCCTTTCTTGACAACATTATTAAAGGATTTGCAGAGAGCTTCCCTGCTAGTTAGGAAGGAGCGAAGAGAGAGAGAGAGAGAGAGAGAGAGAGAGAGAGAGATTTGTGTGTTTGGTAAGAAAGGTTTGCAATGTAGAATGTATACATATATACTAGTTTATGAGGTACTAGCCAACACGTATACAGCCTAGACGTCACTAATCCATTGACCAAAGAGAGTCAGTACTATATTGTCCGTTGCGGGTGATGCTCTGGAGAAGTAAGGTCTTCTTCACCGCTGCGTTGTGTTTAACGATATTGTGATCGATAAAAGAACAAAATTTATAAATTTATATTAGATGATTAGAGAATAGAGAAGACATGTTGAATTGTGATTAGTGAGAGGCATAGTCACGAGACATTCTTGGATCAATTAATAATTTTTCAATGCTATGATAGTGGACGTCCGATTTTCTATCTTTATTGATATTTGATATAAGGTTGATCATTGATTCTAATTAATAAAGTTTCTATTTTTGCTGATTAAAAAAAATAGTGATAAGACAAAAAAAAAATACAAAATACAAAATCATAAAAAAATTATCAGTGCAGTTATTAAAGTTGATAACCTTTATCATCTCATTGCCATTTCCCCATGTTTGTTTGTTGCGATCACCATTATAGAAAAAAAAAATTTAATTAAAAAAAAAATTCACAATTTTTCCAGTCATTCATAAATTTTATTTTAATTTCTGTTAAAAATTTTACTATTCAGACGTGTCTAGTATAAAAAAAATAATAATTTGTTTATGTTCACTAAATTAAAAAAAAAAAGTCAAAATTACTTTTCAAACTTGTCTAGGACTATATTGTTTATTTATTTATTTATGGGACATTTATGCAAGTCTTAATTTATCAATTTATATTCTATTAAATACTAACTAAGATTTTTTGGACTTTCAAGTCCCATTAAATTTTTAATAGTCGGAATTCCCCTTTAAGAAAAATGCTTGGGAGCACTAATTAGTGCTCTCACTAATTAGGTGGCAATGGGTCCCGCCATTAATGATGTGATGTTTTGGTCTTGGAGTTGTGTTTTTTTTTTTTTACTTTTTTCCCCATTTTTTTTTTTTAATAAAAAAAAAAAAAAAAAAAATTAAAATTAAAAAAAAAAATTCACAATTTTTCTAGTCATTCATAAATTTTATTTTAATTTGTGTTAAAAATTTTACTATTCAGACGTGTCTAGTATAAAAAAAATAAAAATTTGTTTAAGTTCACTAAATAAAAAAAAAGTCAAAATTACTTTTCAAACTTGTCTAGAACTATTTTGTTTATTTATTTATTTATGGGACATTTATGCAAGTAAATTTATGAACTTATATTCTATTAAGGCCTCGTTTGGCAACAGGTCGGTTTAGTTAAAAAGTCAAAAAGTTATTAAAAAAGTCAAAAAATCAACAACTCATATCAAAAAGTTAAAGATTCTCTTTTCTCTCTACTTTTTGCACATCTTTTCGTAAAAAATCAAAAAGGTATCCCAAACATACTATTTTTTTTAGCTCATATTTTAGCCAAATAGCCAAAAAATTACTAAATTAGTCTGTTCCCAAACGTGGCCTAAATCTTAACTAAGATTTTTTAGATTTTCAAGTCCCATTAAATTTTTAATAGTCGAAATTGTCCTTTAAACAATGATTGTTCATCATTTGTGATTATCTATAAGGGAATATGACGATTTGACATTTATTTTAATTTTCAAAACTTTAAAACATCAACTTTCAAATTATTATTTTTTTTTTTTGAAAAAATTGAATTATTTTTTTGTGCAAAACTAATAATTTTGTGTCTATAAAGGAGCATGATGATAAATGTGCAAAACTGGGAAAAAAAAAATTAATGAAAAAATTGATAATATTCTCAGTTTTAAAACTATAAAAAAACTAATGTTCTCGATTTTATTGGATAGCTGAATCAAACTAATAAGTAGAAAGACAAAAACGTTTAATCTCATACTTTATTTTCTTTCAGTTAGTGAAACAATTATCTGAAACATTACTATGCAAAATTGATAATATTCTTAATTTTAAAAATTGAGAAAAACTCATAATATTCTCAGTTTTACTAAATATGACTTATTAATTCAAAAAATAGGACTTTTAAATAATTAACTGTTTATTTATTTATTGTGAGAAAGAAGTAGAATGGGAAAAGAGAATGCCATGGTTCTAAAATTCTAACCCATGCATCACGTCTTGTAAGGGAGATCCTTATTATCCAGTACGCCTACTCCCTACTTGGCTTGGATAACTTGATTTTAGCCATCAGAATTTTAGGGTTTGTTTCAGTATAATTTTAAATTGGAGAAAAAAAAGTTGAAAAAATCTCAACCCTAATCAGTTGTTTGGATAACTAATGAGAAGAAAAATATAATGAAATGAAAAATAAAAAATCAACAAAAATGTTCTCTTAAAATTTACTTTTTTTAATCTCTCAAAATGTGGAGAGATTTGAAGATTAAAAAAAACAACTAATGTTAACTTATATAAAACCAAAATTATTCGTCCAAATATAAAAATAAAAAGATCATCACATGTTATTTTGAAAAACAATATCAGTCCTTTTTCCTTTAGTTTCTTAATTTTCTCTTATAATTTTTTTGTTTTTTTTTCTTTTATATACAAATCATTTTATTTTTTTTATTTACTTATCCAAACTAGTTAAAGAGATGTTTTCACTTCTTTTCCTTTTTATTTTTTTTTCCTTTTCTATTCTGTCCTCGATCTCCACTATAAAATACCATTTCACTAATAAATCAAGAGTACTATTAGGAATACTGAATTTTCTATCAAATAAATGACCAAATGTCTCACATGGGTATGGAATCCGTAATTTTGTAAACTCCATACCTATTTAACCATTTATTTGATAAAAAATTTAGAGTATATAACATTTTACATAAATCAAAGCAACTCTATAGTATACGTGTCCTTCTCAAATACTTTTGATGGAGTTTGTAGGGGAAGAGGTTCCATTCAGCTTTATGGATTCATAATTGTACTTCAGACTAATATAAATAGTAACATGTTAGTTCGAGTTTAAACTACATGGGTTAGCTAAGGCCCCATTAAACTTTTGTATTCATAATTGTAATTCATGACTAATAAGTGATGTAACAATAGAAAGAAAGTATGAAAGAGACAGGGAGTGGTAGCAACACAAAAATTAAATATAGAATCATCCATATTCTTAATAGATATATAATTTTATAATATTTGTTTTTGGAGGCTATTTTTAAAAAATCATATTCATCCATTTATTTTCTCTGTTTTAAGACATACAAAATAATACTAATAATATGACACACAAAATAAAAAGGTGCTAATGATCTTACGGTCCAATCTCTCCACCACTGTCACTTGATTTCAGAAAAGTTGAGATTCAAATCTTGCCACAGGCGTGATTAGGTGGAGATTTGAGAAAAATAAAATAAAATAAAAATTTGAACAAAAAATATATTTATTTTTTTTTCTTTTGTAAATTTCTACTTAAATTTATAATTTCAACATAACATAAATATTGTATTTCGAAATAAATAAATAAATAAATAAAACACAAAAGATATTCTCCTATGTAGGCTACGTGGCGTGATCTTAGTAAGGAGGATCATGGTGGTCCACACACATCGCCTGATAACTATAATGTTGAAAATGTTCTCTCCAGTGGCTTCTCGGACCCAGGGCTGCACCCTGGTCTGAGTGAAAACAGGGGTCCCAATTCCATAAACCATCCAGTCCATGTCGGCCATCTTCTTCTCTTAAAATTGTCTCTGTTATAATTCCATGGAGTCCCAATGATGAAGCACCCCCTACCCTACCCTACCCACCATACATATCTTGAAAAATTATTAAATATATATTTTTTTATCAATGAGAAATTACAATATATAGGATAGATCATTTTTTGGTCTACCTAACCAAATGAATCAATATGTCTCACTTGTTAATTTTTTTGTTACGCAATTTAATTTAAAATGTCATAAAAAAATACAATAATGTTCCGAACTCCATTTTCTCCCACCCCCTTTGACCCCCTCTCAACATGATTTGTCATTTTTTTTTTCTTTCTCCTCCAATCACCACCCGCCACGTGTGTGTGGGGTGGTGATTGGAGGGGGTCTCAATCATGACCCATAAAAATATCACATAATATTTTAGAATTACTAAAATTATCCATATTTTTAGATTCCAAGCCACACTCATTGCATGTCTTTGTAACTCTGAAATATATAGCACTTTGGTTGTCACTTTATTCCCACAAAGAGTCTACCAATTTCAAATCAATGCAAGTGCTTGTTGGTGTCTTTTGTTTTCTTGTTTTTGGGTGAAGTTGTGGGGTGGGGGGCTAAAACCCTACACAGAAATCACACGAACATAATTGGTCGCATGAGCATTAATTCAGATCTATTTCTAATATTACATAATTTCTATATAGGATCCTCCATTATGGTTATGGTAGTTTTGTGATTAATAATTAGTGGCATAGTCATCCTCAAATCAAAGTGGCATCTGATCCTCCTCAACTTTTAAAATTTTATAGTTTTTTTGTCTCAAGATTTGAGAATGGTTTTAATTTTTTTTCTCTCTAAACTTATAAATATAACACTCTAATTTTTTTGTCTTCCAAGAAACTCGAATTAGAATTTGTAGACATATTGACTACTTAATTACTTCAAATAAATTTAAGAAATCATTTATTTTTATTATGCATAATTTATTGTCATTCTTTTATTTACATTTTTTATTGCTCAAGAATTCTTTAGATTTGAATGTTACAATAGTTTTTATTGAACTAATATATATGGTATTTGAATAGTTTTGAAATATAAATAATAATTATTTTTTACCAAACTAAACACCGTGTCTCAAATTCACTTACCAGATTCATTATGAGTATAACTCACATCACACTAAATTTAAATTTACATCACACATTTTGTTTTTAAATAATTTTGGGCATCCTAATTTTTTTCTAATGTTTTTTTTTTTCTATTAATCTTATCTTTTAATTCTGACTGATTCAAAATGTCATATTAAGTGAAGGTACA